GAAATATATTTTTAAAATATTCTTCCCAAATATATTACCATATATTTGAAATACTACAATTTTGGCCATATTCAATATATGTTAAAAAAATCTGAAGAATATATTTTAAAAAATATATATTTTTAAAATATATTCTTCAGATTTTTTTTAACATATAAAAAATTCAGTTTAGCATTTATTTGTAAATGCATTCCAAAAATTATTATTATTATACAGTGTTTATATAGCGCCAAAAAGTTTGCTCAGCACTGTAGAATGTAGTGGGGGACAGTACATGAGGCAATACAGTAACAAACACAATATACGAGAGGTTCGAGGGCCCTGCTCTTTTGAGCTTACAATCTAGGAGGGAGGGGATAGTGGTACAGGAGGAAGTGGCTGTGGGGGGATGGAGTGGTAGGAGAAGTGGAGGAGATTGGCTGTTAGGTGAGGGTGGGGTAGGCTTCCCTGAAGAAATGGGTTTTCAGGGTGCGCCTAAAGGTGAGGAGGGTAGATGACAGTCTGATGGATTGGGGTAGTGAGTTCCAGAGGATGGGGGAAGTCCTGGAGAAGTCCTGCAGTCGGGTGTGGGAGGAGGAGACCAGGGAGCTAGAAAGTAGGAGGTCTTGTGAGGAGCGAAGAGTACGGGTTGGGTGGTATTTGGGTATTCGGTCGGTGAGGTAGTTTGGGCTAGTGTTATTATGTAGATTTGTATTTTTAAAGACAAGTAGTATATTTGACATGTAATTTAAAAAAAAAAAAAAAATATATATATATATATATATATATATATATATAATGTATGTACTGCGTGTTGAAATACATTTTTATTACAAAATATATTAAAAATATTTTTTAAAATACATTTCAAATATACTACTTGTCTTTTAAAATACAAATCTACATTTTTGGAATGCATTTACAAATATATGTAAAAATATATGTTAAAAAAATTTGAAGAATATATTTAAAATATATATATTTTTAAAAATATAATTTTTTAAATATATTCTTCAGATTTTTTTAACAGATATTGAATATGGCCAAAATTGTAGTATTTCAAATATATGGCAATATATTTGGGAAGAATATTTTTAAAATATATTTCAAATATACTTTCTTCCATATGGGAGTAAAACTCCCCAGCATATTATCCATGTACACATAGACTGTAATCAATGTTTTTTGGCAGGACGTCTTTTGGCTGGAAAAAAACCCAGGACAAGTGGGTTTCTAGGAGATTTTTAGCTGTAAAAACGTTCTGAAGCTGAAAAACACAACAAAATGTAGTAAAATGCCACAAACCGGCGTTATGGGACTTTTTTTGATCCAAAAAAAATTTTTTTGGGGTGGAAAAAAAATGATAAAAAACGCAAACGTGGAAAACTTCTGCTAAACGCTAAAAAAAGCTGAAAACTTAGATTGGCACCTCCTTGTGTCCTTTTATATCTTCTACAGAGTACTGCTTCGCTCTATGAGGAGCTGCCTTCACCAGTGTCTTTTATAAGGATTCATGGACATTATGGACTTTATGTGATTATTTCATTACTTAAACATCCCGCCATACTCTCATAGTTGCGTTATAGATGCCTATGTTTTATTCAGCTTTTATTTAGGATAGTTCCCTCTTAGCACCAATTACTTTGTTCGTTTGCACCTAATAATGATTGAAGTTTAAGAACTTTTGTTCAGAACCGGGAGAGCATAGGGCATGTCCACCAAATATGGAGAACGTCTCCCGGAGTGGGGAAACACATTGCATTTTTTATTTTTACAGTTGTTTGAAAATCATTTTAATTGATAGTGACATTTTTGCCAACTCTCTGCAGTGTTTTGTTCCCTTGTGGTAGCAGCCCTCCCCAGTGTGTATAATATGATCCCTGTTGTGCTCTGTGTTTAACCAGATACAATTACAATATACAACAATAATTAATGAGAGATTTCTTATATGTAACCTGAGACAGTAAAAATCCTCAGAGAGACAATAACTGCATAAAAGGAAAACAAAATACTATTATAATAATTATACAGTGGTGATATAATGAGGTCTCTTGACTGATGTATGCTCCAATCTGACTTGATATACAATACATTCCATAATGACAGCGCTGGAACTCATAAATATAGTCATTTCCTATGATGTAAACAAATATGTCTAAAACATGAATTCACATCAAAGTGCTGTTAATAGAATTTACAGAAATCTGTTAGGATGCAGTATGCCTGATTCACTAAGTTGTGATATGTAACGGTGTATGCTAAAAGTGGCATATTGACCTAAAAAAATTGATAACATTTGAAACAATTCCCTCATTTGACTTTTATCAGTACATTGAAAATCACAGAAACATCAAATACACTATACAACATCATATACAGTACCTATACTATACAAACTATAAGGACAATGGGCAGCACAGTGGCTAAGTGGTTAGCACCACTAGCAGTACCAGGGTCATTGGTTTGAATCCCAGCCACGGCACTACCTGCCTGGAGTTTGCATGTTCTCTCTTTGCTTGTGTGGGTTTCCTCTAGGTACTCCGGTTTCCTCCCATACTCCAAAGACATGCTGGTAGGTTAATTGGCACCTGTCTGAATAGGTCCTAGTATGCATGAATAGTTAGGGATCTTAGATTGTAAGCTCCTCTAGGGCAGGGACTGATGTGAATGTACAGTATACTGTATGTGTAAAGCACTGCGGAAATTAACAGTGCTATATAAGTACCTGTAATAAATAAATGGGATCCAAAATTAAATGTATAGAAAACATTTTGAGCCACAAACTGCTGTCTTCTGCTGGGAAAAGGTGGAAGTTACCAATTCGAGGTGAAGATCTGGATGTGCTGTCCTGACTCCTGGGAGCAAATCAAATAAACCCCTTAAAGGGGAAGGCGCATATAAACCTATTTTCCCACATAGGTCCATTATTTCAGGTGAGCGTATAGAGCGAGAGGTGGTGGAGCACTTGGAACTCGCTACTTTTACATCTCTGCACTGGATTTACTCTAAAACATGTTATGTGATAATAACATGGTGGACTATATTTCCATTTTTTGTGGTATATAATTTTTTTATTACATGAACCATTGGTACATGTAAATGTGTTGTGATGATATTGATGTAAGCAGTGAGATATATATATATATATATATATATATATATATATATATATATATACATACATACATACATACATACATATACACACACACACACACACACACACACACACACACACACAGTTGTGTTCAAAATAATAGCAGTGTGTTGAAAAAAGTGAATAAAGCTCAAAATCCTTCTAATAGCTTTTATGTCCATACACACAAATGCATTGGGAACACTACACATTCTATTCCAAATCAAAACAAGAAGAAAAATATATGAGATTTGTGTTGTTACTCTAAAAAAATTGAAGAAAAGTGAATATTAGACTGTTCAAAAAATAGCAGTGTTTGTATTCTTCTTTACAAACTCAAACATTCACTATATAAACTGAAAAATGTTTGAAGATTTTGCTTTCCTTTGAATCACTTAATGAATATTTCGTTGTATAAGCACTGTTTCTGAGAACTGCTGTACATCTGTGTTGCATGGAGTCACCCAACTTCTGGCACCTGTGAACAGGTATTCCAGCCCAGGATGATTGGACTACATTCCACAGTTCTTCTCTATTTCTTGGTTTTGCCTCAGAAACTGCATTTTTTATGTCACACCACAAGTTTTCTATTGGATTAAGATCCGGGGATTGGGCTGGCCACTCCATAACGTCAATCTTGTTGGTGTGGAACCAAGATGTTGCACGTTTACTGGTGTGTTTGGGGGTCGTTGTCTTGTTGGAACACCCATTTCAAGGGCATTTCCTCTTCAGCATAACCTCTTCAAGTATTCTGATGTATTCAAACTGATCCATGATCCCTGGTATGCGATAATGTCAGGGCTCCCGGGTGGAACCAGAGGTATGTGACTGACGCAGGGAAACGCAGGCTTCAGATATGTTATAAATATAATTTATTAACACTAACAATACAAACCTAAATGCAGTGCAATACTAAAACATAACACAGTGCAAACAAACCAAAACCAACCACCCCACAGATAACAGTACATACAATGCAAGCGTCGTCAGGCAGGCCGGGTCAATATCAATCGGGCAGGTAGGTACAGGGGGAGCAAGCGGAGAATGGTCGGGGTCTCAGGCCAGGTTCAGCAGGTAGCGGGCAGCGTGGTACAGAGGGTCAGGCAGAGGGATGGTCAGGGTCACAAGCCAGGGATCAGAACAGGAGAAGTCAGCAGAGGTCAGAATCAAGCAGGGTCAGCAACAAGACAGGAACAGGAACGCAGGTTTACAAGATACAGGGCCCAGGAAAAACACACACCAAGGCAGAGTCTGCAGGTCTGGCCATCCCTTAAATACACCAGTATAATTAGTTCCAGATGTTTGACTGGCTGCAAGGTTGAGTCTCTGATTGCTGGGAGCACCCGCTGGCCAGCCCTGGTACTGCAGCTCATAAGGCAGGTGAGTCCCACTATTGCTGGCCAGTCAATTCCTGACAGTACCCCCCCCCCTCAAGGAGCGGCCTCAGGACGCTCCAAACAGACCTAGCTGGGCAAAATGTTCCACCGCCCGGGTCTGGTAACTGGCGGGATATCAAAGACTGGCACACCGGGCAGGACTCCGGGCAGCGGCAGCGGCACACCGGGCAGGACTCCGGGCAGCGGCACACCGGGCAGAGGCACACCGGGCTGGACTCCGGGCAGAGGCACACCGGGCTGGACTCCGGGCAGAGGCACATCGGGCTGGACTCCGGGCAGAGGCACATCGGGCTGGACTCCGGGCAGAGGCACATCGGGCTGGACTCCGGGCAGAGGCACATCGGGCTGGACTCCGGGCAGAGGAACATCGGGCTGGACTCCGGGCAGAGGAACATCGGGCTGGACTCCGGGCAGAGGCACTCCGGGCAGCGGCACACCGGGCAGAGGCACTCCGGGCAGAGGCACATCGGGCTGGACTCCGGGCAGAGGCGCATCGGGCTGGACTTCGGGCAGAGGCACATTGGCTGGACTCCGGGCAGAGGCACATCGGGCTGGACTCCGGGCAGAGGCACATCGGGCTGGACTCCGGGCAGAGGCACATCGGGCTGGACTCCGGGCAGAGGCACATCGGGCTGGACTCCGGGCAGAGGCACATCGGATTACCAGGTGAAGCAGCAGGCACCGGGCCACCAGGCGGAGCAGCAGGCACCGGGCCACCAGGCGGAGCAGTAGGCACCGGGCCCCTAGGCGGGGCGACAGGCACCGGGCCCCCAGGTGGAGCGACAGGTCTCAGGCCCCCAGGCGGAGCGACAGGTCTCAGGCCCCCAGGCGGAGCGGCGGGCGCCGGACCCCCAGGCAGAGCGGCGGGCGCCGGACCCCCAGGCGGAGCGACAGGTCTCGGGCCCCCAGGCGGAGCGGCGGGCACCGAGTCACCAGGCACGACAGTGGGCTCCGAGTCAACTGGCAAGACTGCAGGCACCGAGTCAACTGGCAAGACTGCGGGCACCGAGCCAACTGGCGGAACAGCGGGCTTCGAGTCGTCTGGCAAGACTGCGGGCACCGAGTAGTCTGGCAAGACTGCAGGCACCGAGTCGTCTGGCAAGACTGCGGGCACCGAGTCAACTGGCGGAACAGCGGGCATCGAGTCAACTGGCGGAACAGCGAGCTTCGAGTCGTCTGGCAAGACTGCGGGCACCGAGTCATCTGGCAAGACTGCGGGCACCGAGTCAACTGGCGGAACAGCGGGCATCGAGTCAACTGGCCTAATAGGATCATCAGGCTGGATCAGTTCATTATGCTGGGTAGAAGCATCCGGCTGAGTAGAGGCTTCAGGCTGAGTAGAGGCTTCAGGCTGAGTAGAGGCTTCAGGCTGAGTAGAGGCATCAGGCTGAGTAGAGGCATCAGGCTGAAGAGAGGCATCAGGCTGAAGAGAGGCATCAGGCTGAACCACGGAAGGCAGGTTCTCAGACGGCAGGCTCACCGGTTTGGATACTGGCAGGATGGTACTGGTTGGAAAGAATTTTCGCTTTTTTCTGGTTTTAACTACTGGAGCACTGCAAGTAAACGCAGGTCTGCAAACGAATGGAGCAGCTGGAGACAGAGAAGAGCTGGAGGATGGAACAGGGGAGGGAGCAGTTGCTACAGAGGACTTCTTTACAGGGTTAAAGGCAGGATAGGTGCAGCGAGTGGGAACAGGGGACTGACATGCGGTAGATAGCAGGGCAGGAGGAGCTGTTGGGAATGCAGGAATAGAGCTTTGAGGAAATAGATTAGAAGCAGGACTGGGTTTTTGTAGGCTGACTGAGGCTGGGTGCAACAAATCTGTCCATGTCTGCAGTATGGGTTGAACAAAGCTGAGCTTACACAAAGCCTGTCTGACCAAAGACTGCACTGCGTTTATACAATCTCTTAGTATCTGTGGTGAACATGCAGCATAATGCTCCAAGAAGCAATCCACATCATCCTCTAATAACCATACCAGGGACTCTACCTGGTCAGCACTAAATGGCGGCAAAAATTCATCCCTGCATTCGGGGGTACCAGATGAAACCAACTCCGCACAAACCTGAATCAATGGCTGCACCTCAGAGAACTCTGTGCCCTGATCTACTAGAACATGAGCGAGCCGTATACATTCTAGCAGTTCATCCCGGGTATACTCCTTCAGAGTTTGATAAGCATACTCTCTGTCATCAAACACTAGCAGATATAAATACACAACCTCATCAAGATCCATCCTTCCCTTCAACAAACCAAGATGGCTTCCCTGTGCAGCCACTTCTGGTCAGGATTGGCCTTGGTGTAATGTCAGGGCTCCCGGGTGGGACCAGAGGTATGTGACTGACGCAGGGAAACGCAGGCTTCAGATATGTTATAAATATAATTTATTAACACTAACAATACAAACCTAAACGCAGTGCAATACTAAAACATAACACAGTGCAAACAAACCAAACCAACCACCCACAGATAACAGTACACACAATGCAAGCGTCGTCAGGCAGGCCGGGTCAATATCAATCGGGAAGGTAGGTACAGGGGGAGCAAGAATGGTCGGGGTCACAGGCCAGGTTCAGCAGGTAGCGGGCAGCGTGGTACAGAGGGTCAGGCAGAGGGATGGTCAGGGTCACAAGCCAGGGATCAGAACAGGAGAAGTCAGCAGAGGTCAGAATCAAGCAGGGTCAGCAACAAGACAGGAACAGGAACGCAGGTTTACAAGATACAGGGCCCAGGAAAAAAACACACCAAGGCAGAGTCTGCAGGTCTGGCCATCCCTTAAATACACCAGTATAATTAGTTCCAGGTGTTTGACTGGCTGCAAGGTTGAGTCTCTGATTGCTGGGAGCACCCGCTGGCCAGCCCTGGTACTGCAGCTCATAAGGCAGGTGAGTCCCACTATTGCTGGCCAGTCCATTCCTGACAGATAAATAGGCCCAACACCGTAGTATGAGAAACATCCCCATATCATGATGCTTGCACAACCATGCTTCACTGTCTTCACAGTGTACTGTGGCTTGAATTCAGTGTTTGGGGGTCGTCTGACAAACTGTCTCCGGCCACTAGACCCAAAAAGAACAATCTTACTTTCATCAGTCCACAAAATGTTGCACCATTTCTCTTTAGGCCAGTCAATGTGCTCTTTGGCAAATTGTAACCTCTTCAGCACATGTCTTTTTTTCAACAGTGGGACTTTGCGGGGGCTTCTTGCAGATAGCTTGGCTTCACATAGGAGTCTTCTAATTGTAACAGTACTCACAGGTAACTTTAGATCATCTTTGATCTTCCTGGAGCTGATTGTTGGCTCAGTCCTTGCCATTTTGGCTATTCTTCTATCCATTTGAATGGTAGTTTTTCGCTTTCTTCCACGTCTTTCAGGTTTTGGTTGCCATTTTAAAGCATTTGCGATCATTTTAGCTGAGCAGCCTATCATTTTCTGCACTTCTTTAAATGTTTTCCCCTCTCCAATCAACTTTTTAATCAAGGTACGCTGTTCTTCTGAACAATGTCTGGAACGACCCATTTTCCTCAGAATTTCAGAGAGAAATGCACTGTAACCAGCATGTACAACATTTGCTGCCTTCCTTCCTTAAATAAGGGCAATAATTGCCACCTGTTTTTCAAAGAATGAATGACCTCACTAATAGAACTCCACACTGCTATTATTTTGAACATGCCCCTTTCAATTAGTGATTCAATTACACAGAATCAGCAGCATGCATGTCATGACTGTCGGGTCTGTTGGATTTCTATTACCTTACTACACCTGCAATAAACATTGTCTTTTTATTCTCATAGGGCCTGTTAATAATGAATATTATCTGTAAAAGGCTGAGTCGGATGCGTATGCATAGATAATTGATCAGTTGATATATACAATATACTCTCTCTCACTTCTGAGGAATAGCATATGTGAATAGTTTCTGAAACTTCTCTATGGTAAACATAATAAAATATCAGATCACATAAAATGTATAAATATTCATAAAGCAATTAATAACTTAGAATAACTGGGGAATTCCACATATTACAATTTATATCTAACAGCCTGTCCCTACAGAAAAATACTGTCAGCTAGTCACCTCTTGTCCTAAGAGACGAAGCCTGACTCTTCTCAAGGTATAAAACATCTCCGGCTTGTCTTCTGTGAGAGGTCTCTTCTCATTGCCAAAATGTAATTCTGTGTTCATGTTCTGTAGCAATGTGTTTGCTATCCAACAGGAAACATTTAAAAGGCATGTTTTATATATTACTTGACAAGAGTTTGAACTGATTTCCATCCTTTACCATGGTGAATTTACTATTTTTGTTATATAATAATTAAAGGCATGTAGAATGTACACATCTTCTACCATCAGATTAAATAAGTATTTCATGCGACAAAGGGAGATGCTGATTCATGAAGAGTAGTGCGAAGAGCCGATTTTCATCTGTCATCTTTCATCTTGATAATTGTCTTACTCTGCTCCAGTTTTTTTTCCTACACAGGCTAGCAAGTCTGTTTTTTTCACATTTTACAGTAAACTTATATCCCCATTAAACCCTAAGTTGAAATTCACTAAATAAATTTCAGGTATATCAAAACAAAAGTGTTCTATGCCTTATAGTTTGTTTTCTTTTTAAAGCAGCCACATCTTGGGGCGAAAAGCCTGACCCCTATCAGAAGCTGCAGACCTTTGCTCCCTGTGGGGAAGCCGTGATTTCATTTCAGAGGTCTGACACATCTCCTACTGAGTCAAACCTATAGATATGCAATAAGCAAGCTCATGCTTCTCATTAACTGGAAAACTGTGGCTCTTGCTTAGCAGGGGGCATATCAGATCTCTGCAAAGAGATCACTGCTTCCCCACAAATAGCAAGGGTCCCACTTTGAAGCATGCTGGCAGGCTTTTCTACCCAGGCTGTAGCCAGTTGTTTCAGAAAACAAACTGTAAGACTTTTCACACTTTGTTTTGATGCAATGTGTTTAGCTTATTTAAACAGAAAGTTCAATTGGCCTTTAAATATTGGTTTTGGAAGGCTAATTTTATTCATTTGTTTCTACTTTTTAATAAAATTATTGACTAAAAATACAGTATAAAGCTCAATCCAATGCATGATAATTAGGAATGACAGTAAAATTGTAGAAAATAATACATGTATGTGCTGATAGTTTACTTTACTGATCAAGCAATACAAAGACAAACCATTTGAACCACATTTGTTAAATTAAATTTATGAATCTATCATTTTAAACAATAAAATAAAAAAAAAAAGTAATAAAAAAAGATCCCAGTTTCATACCTTGCTTCCTTCCTATACGGTTATTTGGAAAATGTACGTCTTAATATCAATATTAACCCAGAACAATAGAACAAATGCTTTGCTCCAACTCATAAATTGTCCATAACTAACCAAATAGAAGAGAACTATAAATTATGCTTGAGATGGTATAAATGACCAGACAAATTAAATCGGATTTATACTATTATTGGTGATACCTGTTGGCGATGGAGGGCTAATCTCTATTGTAGGATATCAGTGACCCAAATCAACAATATTTCCAAATTCATACTACTCTGTTATTCCAAGCCTTATTAAATTTGCTAAAAAAGACATTCTCCGCCATTTTCTTTTGGCAGCAAGAACTGAAATACTTCAACACTGGAAGTCCATCACCATAACATCTTTGGTTGAATATTCAGTGGAATTGGATGCCATTAGTGTTGACCCTTTGGCTTTGTCTTTCTTCAGAGTTCAAAACATGGGTTAAAGGACCCATAAAAATCAAGATTTTCTCTAATTAACTTGTGTATTTAAATCCTGAGCTCCAAACCTTATTTTTCTTTTTCTTATTTTGTCCCAATAAGATGAGAATATCATCAAATATCTCATACTTAGAAACTATGTTATTTGTTCTAGAAAAGTCTACAAGCTAGCCTTTCCTCTCAACAGGCAGATGTCTCTACTTTGCAATGATTAATAAGTGCTTCCCTTGTACTAGTTTAAGTTCTAATCTACTGTATATCCTATACTTTATAGGCTTGTAAAACAGACTGACACCAACTATTAAAAAATATTGTCTGTGGCTGCTCTGAGCCCCCTATCATGGAGAGAAAGCTGGCTTATCTACTCCCTATTTTATAAGATCTTCTGAGTCTGCTGGCCAAGTCTGCTGACTGCAGTTTCCCAAGCACTGTACAAGGGCTCTGTACTTGAAGATGATAATGGATTCACATTTCACTGTGTTGACAAATACTTATATATAATGCTACAATTCATGGCAAGATCTTTTATATGGAAAACTCTATGCACTAAACTTTTGTTGGAACAACTCAATTCACTGTTTTTCTTAATGAGGAACCCTACTAAGCATTGATCCAGAGTATGTTCAACAGTCTGATGGATAATAATACCTATAACTTTCACTTAACAGCATTTGCCAAGACTAAGGAAAACCACCTCATTCTCTTCTTTTTATTTATATTATTGTATTTAACTGGTATATTGGGAAATACCATTATAGTTACCTCCGTGATCATTGATGCCCGTCTGCACACCCCTATGTACATCTTCCTTTGTAATCTGTCTACTGTGGATATGATTTTCAATTCATCAACGCTACCTAAACTGATGGACATTCTACTTTTTGGGAATGACTCAATATCATTCGCACAATGTTTTACACAACTTTATTTTTACTTGTTGGCAGCCAGCACAGAGGACATTCTGCTGTCATTGATGGCATATGATCGATATGTGGCTGTCTGCAAACCTTTACACTATCAGCTGATCATGAATAAAGCAAAAATTGTCCTTCTGTTACTGGGTACCTGGGCAGTTGGATGTCTCAACTCTTTGTTTTTAACTCTTTCAATGCACCAGTTGGATCTCTGTCCTGTTAAAACAATCCAGCATTTCTTCTGTGACATTAAAGCTCTAGCAAAGATAACTTGTAGCCACACACAGTTTTATATACTGCTCTACATTGAAAGTGTTGTCCTTGGGCTCTTCCCATTTTTGCTCAGCTTAGCATCCTACATTAAGATAATTGTTATCATACTCGGCATTAGGTCCACCAGTAGCAGGAAAAAGGCCTTCTCTACCTGCACATCCCACCTTGCTGTGTTATTTGTCTTCTATGGTGTCGCTCTGTGTATGTATGTGAAACCTCCATCAGTTGATTTTGAGAAGCAAGATTTGGTATTCTCCATAATGTATACAGCAGTGACTCCCATGCTTAATCCATTAATATATAGTCTGAGGAATAAAGAGGTAAAATCAGCTCTGATGAGGATTTTTAGAGTGAAGAAAAATATCACGTAATTTTGTAGGAAAATGTGTGTGCTTAAACAAATATTATTATGGACATCAATAAATAATATCAATATTATTAGGCAACACCCACTTCCATTCATTTATATAGAGAATTAAACATGAACAGCTTAGTTACTGATAAAAAAAATTACATAAAACAATACTCTAGAGCAGGGCAGGCAACTTTTGAGAGGTGGAGATCAACCTGAGCAACATAAAGCAGGTGTGTCAAACTGGCGGCCCTCCAGCTGTTGCGAAACTACAAGTCCCATAATGCCTCTGCCTGTCACGGTGTGAGGTCAGGTTCAGAGACTAGTAGCTATAGCAGCAGACCAACCAACAGGATAGGTAAACAAGCAGGTCACTCTGGGAAATGACACAGGCTCAACTGAGGTGCGGGGTCTAAGCACTAGCAGGTATTCACCAGAGCTCCTGATGGAGGAGATGGGTTTTGCTGCATGTTAGTACCAGGTCGCAGTTCTCAGGATCACCCCACCAGGAAGTGAACAAGCCAGGATCCAGTAGCAGATATGGCAGGTAGGGATCTAGCAGAAGCGTAGTCAGTAAACAAGCCAAGGGTCGGTAACAAGCGGTAGCAGGTTGGCATGAGGCAGAATCGTAGTCAAGGAACAAGCCAAAGGTCTGTAGCGAAGGTATGAAAGGCAGCAGGAGAGACAAAGTGAGATACTGGCTGGAGAAGGCACAATAATCTGGCAAACAGGAAATGCAGAGACATGGCTTTTATCAGGAAGCTCATGGGAGGAGGAGCAAGGGGTTCAAGATAAACAAGGTCAAGGTAGGATCATCCAAATAATTGTCAAGGGAGCTGTCCAGCATTCCAGGTGGCTCAGCAAGAAGAAACATTGCCCCTCACGCAGAAGGCCCAGGTTTGGACCCAAGTTCTGACACTGCCCTTGAGAGTCATGCTTGTAACTGTCAATCTTGCAATGCCTCATAGGACTTATAGTTTGGCAACAGCTGGAGGGTTACCAGTTTGAAACTCGTGACATAAAGGATATCAAAGGGGTCCAACGCATTAAAAAAAATAAATAAATCAACTAGCAAGACCTAACTAAATAGTGAGGAAAACATAGAAAGGTATAATAAAATAGTTTCCCTGTAAAGCATTGGACACCGAACAATTTCACTGTGGAGCATTGGACAGTGTCAGTAGGGCAGTGGACAGTGTCATTAGAGCAGTGGATGGTGTCTCAGTAGGGCAGAGGATGGTGTCAGTAGGCCAGTGGATGGTGTCAGTAAGGCAGAGGCTGATGTCAGTAGAGCAGTGAGTGGTGGGAGTAGGGGAGTGAACAGTGTCAGTAGTTTTTTATTTTTATTATTTTGTGTTTTATTATTATTTACACTTTATTTTCACTTTTGCGAAATATCAGCAGTCTAAATTAGTGGTCATCTTCCCTTTTTTTGCTCTGTGGCCATGTTTGATTAGTATAAAATGAATATAACATTTTTGAGAAGCCCAGAGAGGGAGGGGAATGCCTATGTCTCCTTTGATGGTTTTGAAAAAGCTTTCTAACTCTTTGTTTTTATCTATGTAATTCATGCTCCTGTAGTAGGGTCATGTTTGGTGTCCAGGGCGAACAGTGTACAGTGCATTGTTATGTCCAGTGAGTTACAGAATACAGTGTACTGCGGTGTCCAGTGCGTTAGTGTACAGTGCATTGCGGTTCCCAGTGCATTACAGTATACAGTGCATTTTAAATATTGTATTGTTTTTGTCCCTGTTTTTTGCACTACAAAGAAGATATCTGCGGTGTGTATAGGAATTTGTTCATATTTTTTTCAAAGAATAGTCCGGCTCCCCAACAGTGTGAAAGTCCATGAACTGGCCCCCTGTTTACAAAGTTTGAGGACCCCTGATCTAGAGCATGTATTGAATACTTACAAGTTTGTTAAGCTTATCTCTTGACATATACAGTCATACCAACTCATACAAGGTGGAAGATATGTCCTAATGATTTATAGAGATGTTGGAAGATAAAAACCACAGACATTTATTTCATGGCTGAAGAAAGTTTGCTGATAATTTCTATGGACACACTTCATGAACTTTGAGACTTTTTATTCAGAGACACATTGGTCATAGATTATTTGTCAATTATTTAGTTTTGTATTCTATAATATTGCATGGCACTGTTTGATATAAGGTTTCCCAAATAAAGCCTTCTTATATAGCCTTGTCATTGTTGGAAGGCTCATGGTCATCTGTAATAAGGAGACTTCAGGGGTAAGAGCTACACTTGCAAACTGCAAAAGGCAATAACTGTATTCATAAACAGCAGTTTTCATATTCTGCATATTTATTCCTTTACTCAATTAGTAAGAGCAGGCAGGGGTGACAAGGCAAAAATGTAGAAATCAGTAATAAAGAAGGGAACTTTTTAAGAGCTCATTCCAACAGTTCCAAAGAGAACTCATAAGATATTTGCCTAGTGATACAAATATTTCATATCTATGGGTTGTCTGCAAAGTAAGGGAGGGAAGAGCTGCAGATTCTAAATAGGTTTCTATATTTGACTATTTAGTAATAAGACTATTCCCAGGGAGGGTTTTAGGATGTATAAATTAGCGTAGTATGCTTGGAAGATATCTGCAATTTCAGGTGTTAAACATACTTTGTCACCCGTTGAGGAAGAGAGAGCTGGGATATATGTTTGTACTCTCTCTTAGATCTGGGCTGTGGGCTAGTAAATGGCTACATTTATTTCCGCACTCAGATCTCCTTACCTTTGTTGAAGGACACTTTCAGTGTGTTTTGGAGTTGTTCTCTTTTATTTCTGCATCTAAATGTCAAGATGTAATTTGTTCATGATGTGTTCTAAGGTTGCATAATTGAAGAAGTTAATTAGTGGTCATCTTCCCTTTTTTTGCTCTGTGGCCATATTTGATTAGTATACAATGAATATCACATTTTTTTGCTCTGTGGCCATGTTTGATTAGTATACAATGAATAAACAGTGGGGCAAAAAAGTATTTAGTCAGCCTCCAATTGTGCAAGTTCTCCCACTTAAAAAGATGAGAGAGGCCTGTAATTGGCATCATAGGTAGACCTCAACTATGAGAGACAAAATGAGAAAAAAAATCCAGACAATCACATTGGCTGATTTGGAAAGAATTTATTTGCAAATTATGGTGGAAAATAAGTATTTGGTCACCTACAAACAAGCAAGATTTCTGGCTCTCACAGACCTGTACCTTCTTCTTTAAGAGGCTCCTCTGTCCTGCACTCATTACCTGTATAAATGGCACCTGTTTGAACTTGTTATCAGTATAAAAGACACCTGTCCACAACCTCAAACAGTCACACTCCAAACTCCACTATGGTGAAGACCAAAGAGCTGTCGAAGGACACCTGAAACAAAATTGTAGACCTGCACCAGGCTGGGAAGACTGAATCTGAAATAGGCAAGCAGCTTGGTGTGAACAAATCAACTGTGGGAGCAATAATTAGAAAATGGAAAACATACAAGACCACTGATAATCTCCCTCGATCTGGGGCTCCACGCAAGATCTCACCCCGTGGGGTCAAAATGATCACAGGAACGGTGAGCAAAAATCCTAAGACCACACGGGGGGGACCTAGTGAATGACCTGCAGAGAGCTGGGACCAACGTAACAAAGGCTACCATCAGTAATACACTACGCCGCCAGGGACTCAGATCCTGCAGTGCCAGACGTGTCCCCCTGCTTAAGCCAGTACATGTCCGGGCCCGTCTGAAGTTTGCTAGAGAGCATTTGGATAATCCAGAAGAGGATTGGGAGAATTTCATATGGTCAGATGAAACCAAAATAGAACTGTTTGGTAGAAACACAACTCGTCGTGTTTGGAGGAGAGAGAATGCTGAGTTGCACCCAAAGAACACCATACCTACTGTGAAGCATGGGGATGGCAACATCATGCTTTGGGGCTGTTTCTCCGCAAAGGGACCAGGACGACTGATCCATGTACAGGACAGAATGAATGGAGCCATGTATCGTGAGATTTTGAGTGCAAACCTCCTTCCATCAGCAAGGGCATTGAAGATGAAACGTGGCTGGGTCTTCCAACATGACAATGATCCCAAACATTCCACCTGGGCAACGAAGGAGTGGCTTCGTAAGAAGCATTTCAAGGTCCTGGAGTGGCCTAGCCAATCTCCAGATCTCAACCCCATAGAAAACCTTTGGAGGGAGTTGAAGGTCCGTGTTGCCCAGCGACAGCCCCAAAACATCACTGCTCTAGAGGAGATCTGCATGGAGGAATGGGCCAACATACCAACAACAGTGTGTACCAACCTTGTGAAGACTTACAGGAAACGTTTGACCTCTGCCAACAAAGGATATACAGTCAGGTCCATAAATACTGGGACATCGACACAATTCTAACATTTTTGGCTCTTTACACCACCACAATGGATTTGAAATGAAATGAACAAGATGTGCTTTAACTGCAGACTGTCAGCTTTAATTTGAGGGTATTTACATCCAAATCAGGTGAACGGTGTAGGAATTACAACAGTTTGCATATGTGCCTCCCACTTGTTAAGGGACCAAAAGTAATGGGACAGAATAATAATCATAAATCAAACTTTCTCTTTTTAATACTTGGTTGCAAATCCTTTGCAGTCAATTACAGCCTGAAGTCTGGAACGCATAGACATCACTAGACGCTGGGTTTCATCCCTGGTGATGCTCTGCCAGGCCTCTACTGCAACTGTCTTCAGTTCCTGCTTGTTCTTGGGGCATTTTCCCTTCAGTTTTGTCTTCAGCAAGTGAAATGCATGCTCAATCGGATTCAGGTCAGGTGGTTGACTTGGCCATTGCATAACATTCCACTTCTGTCCCTTAAAAAACTCTTTGGTTGCTTTTGCAGTCTGCTTTGGGTCATTGTCCATCTGCACTGTGAAGCGGCGTCCAACGAGTTCTGAAGCATTTGGCTGAATATGAGCAGATAATATTGCCCGGAACACTTCAGAATTCATCCTGCTGCTTTTGTCAGCAGTCACATCATC